AAAACCATCATTCAATAAAATGGAAATAATTAAGGGTTCGATGTAGGGAAATTCTGCTCGGATAAAGCGGAGAATGCACGAGAAGATATCGAACCATGACAATGACATCTTATGTATTCAATACATCCGAAGGACGACCGCTTTTGGACTTATACCCCTCTCTGGACAACTGGATCTAAAACTCGTCCATGGACGAGTTTTAGATCACCCATGGCTACTTGGGTCGTCTCAATCTAAGAAGACATTTCCCAACAAAAATTTTGCCGATGCATCGCGATGGTTGAAAAAACTATCGATACCTCCAACCATTGATAGTGGTATCGATTCATCGACCTATCGGGACAGCTCTACTCGATACTCACTGCCCAGTCGCAGCGTGGCGTCATGCTGTATGTACGAGGGGAAAGTTGGGGGGGGGGGGACTTCTGCCCGATTTTGAAACTATCAGACTCACCGGTACGCTGGTAGGAGGCTGCTTGGCATAATATAAAATATCATTTAAAATTTGAATTTAAAAAAGTAATTTTCTCTCTTCCCGATTAGCGCTAATTCGCATAAAATTGATGCTATCAACATAAAGAAATTAAATAAACATGATTTCTTATTATTGTGTTCCTTTTTGTGGCGGCGCCCCCCCCCTTTACCCCGCTGGCGCCCTGGGCGATCGCCCGCTTCGCCCGCCCCTATAAACGACCCTGACACAGGGTGTGATGAAACCTTAGACCTGAACTTGATTCAAAAGTGCAACGCACAGTAGTGAAATTTCAGCTTATAATCAGAGCACGGCTGAGAGGAAGCATGCAGCCTGACAGCCAAAACGAAGAAATGAAAACTATAATATTTTCGCGCTTGTAAGCCTGCGACGTCATGAGCCTTTCGATTCCCAAACACCTCTATGCATCCATGAACTCGACCATGCATCAAAGGATTGATGCATGGTCGCGTTTGTCTGTCATTCGACGTAATGTCTATCTGGCGGATAGACATTACATATTTTTCGCACATATTTCGATAATTCGATACCAAACCCGCGCCTATGCAAGGTTCCGTTAGCCAGCCACCTCCAACTTTTTTTCAACATGAACATAATCTGAATCCCTGGCAAGAAAACCTTGTCCATACAGGTTAAATGTATATGATCCTATCTATTGCATCCCACTGTCCCTGCCTGTTTCTGCGAGACCTGCTCTTTGATAAATGTCTATTCCATGTAACGGAAAGCATTTATTTAATTACTAAACCATTTATCTGCCATTCCCATAGGTACTATGGGGAAATGCCAGATATTGCGGTCGGTTTGTCCCTTTTTTGTTCTTTTTCATTCCGTGTCCGCAGTAACCATAGCAACCGGACAACACGACCCAATGCGCACGCGCAGCTTTCCGACTGGGTCGGAGTGCCCATCTTTCACGAAAACATCCACTTCCCTTCCAGTCCTGGCGGTTGACGGTTCCATAATAGACAATGGAGGAGAGCAGCTGCTCCCGGCCGCGTAGACAGGGTTGCTAGGTGCACGCGTGAAATGCCGTATCTGGCATCCTACACTTCATACCGTCCTCCCGTCTCCACGCGACGCGGACGCGCGGACCATCGAGAACATGTCTAGCTTTCAGGCCTTTTCATATAGATCTATGCCGAACCAATGACAACTATTATTTATTTTCAAGGTTAGATGGTTAGGATACGGTAAATATATATAATAAATCAAGTGGTACAGGGGCCAGTGGATGCCAGATCTGTACCTGGGCTGGTACTCTCTAATTTCTCATTCCGTCTGTCCGCAGTAACCATAGCGACCGGACAACACAACCCAATGCGCACGGGCAGCTTTCCGCCTGGGTCGGGGTGCCCGTCTTCCACGAAAACATCCGTTTAGAAATGCTTCCTATTTTATTGACTGCTTCATTTTAGCAATGCTTCGACTAAAATACAAATTTGCATTCCCCCCGGATGTCTCAATGATTCGAGACAATTTCACTAAATCCTTAGGTTTACCGAAATTCTGTATCCAACTAGGGAGACTCAAAATCCCCCTGAATTACTCAAAACCCACGACATTTACATGACTGAGGATATGTTATTATGATGTTAGTATAGTGAGACTTCCTTAGAATTGGATGTACGCATGGGGTCCAAGCGCGTAGCGTCACAAACCTATAGGATTAAAATTCCACGAGTGCGCATAAGCAAAAATGCACAGGATGGAAGAACATAATCGGATCGGAAACAATTTTTCCTCGATGACGCTGGTGGCAGTGGCATCGAACTGCGTGAGGTGGAAAGTGGAACGGAGTTCGATATCGCGTAGTCTCGAAAAAGCGTGGCATAGAGCACACGCATGATCGAAGCCGTGCGATGCGAAAGACGTACGGGATGGAATTGCGTATCCACAAAAATAGGCAGGCATGACGACGCAATCGGGCTGCTGAATGCACTCAATCTATGGATGCGTCCCTAGCGCGACCCCAGTAGGTTTTGCATTCATTCCAATTAGCCTATATCGATGAAAGGCTCGAACGACTTGAAACTGCCTTCAGAGATTTGATCTCGGCATGACCTCGCAAATAGACACTCAAGAATGGTCCAATAGCAAACGAGCCTGGGAGGGAAAAGGAAACTGGCGTCATGAATGGAATGCCTTTTTTCTCCATTCCACGGGCGTTCAGCAAGTTTTCCCAGTACCACCTCATCCTATGATCTCGAAACTTTGCTCAATTTTCCAGCACCAAAAGTTTCTTTTCCGCATTTCATCAATATACACCTCCTGGGTGTTCGTTTTGGGCGATCAGTATGACCCTCTCGCCCCCATTAAACATTTAACCCCTTACCGCACGATTTTTCTTTCGTATTGAAAAAATGCATGTGCAAAGTTATGCATAGCGAAGGTAGTGTTTCGCTCAGTTGGCTGCACGTTACAAGCGGGTTGACTGCTTCGTATCCAATACGCCATGTTATGCACTTTGTCGAAATAGCGCTAACATCAGCAAATAACATCACTTTAATGGTTTGCATCAAAATTGGCACAAAATGTGTAACGGGTTTAAATTGGGGAATTTGGAAAGTTTTCTCTACGAATATTCATTCCGCACTCTTGGAACTCTAATCGATTCAAAAACACGCGCTACCAGTTCGTGTAATATCAAGATCGCTCAACTCCTTGTGGATGCTTTTTGGCGATTAGTGTATTTCTCTGAGGAGGTAATCCAGCCCATGGAGACTCCAGACGATTCTGATCCATAGAATTGAGAACGGATGGTTTAACTGACATCATTCTATGGCAGGGGTCGGGAACCTTTTTGACCATGTGAGCCATATTAAGATCGAGCCAAGTGCTCCTGAGCCAAAGATTTTCGGAGAAAAAATTTTTTTCTCCTGAAGATGGCATCAAACGTATGCATTCTACAGGGTATGATACATGAGAAAATTGAGGGGCAGCCATGTTTTTTTTAGCCCTGACTCGTGAGCCAAATTTGGCTCACGAGACATGGGTTCCCGACCCCTGCTCTATGGGGTGAATAAAAGAGCAGGCTCGGACTTCATTTGGCAGTGAAAAACGTTATATCATACTTGGCGGGCTTTATTTCCCTATTACAGAGGAAAAGAGTGGGGTGGGGTCAAGGAAGTAATGCGATGGATCATATCGGATAGGCGACATTCAGAGCGATAAATCGCTTCCCTTAAAAAAATTAAAATGTAAACTCACAAGGGAGACGATAGGGGAGAGGGTGTACTCCCTTGAGCATTTCCAACCAACCAGAGGAGATGACGATGTTTACAGCACGATTTATCCCATTCACTTTTTACTCTTAGAATCCCCAGGTGCCAATATTCTTCTTCCTCTTCATATTCACGCTATAATCACCAAGGTGCCGATCTCTCGACACTGGTTTTTTGTACAGTACTAAGAGTTAATGTGCAAATAGTTAAATTGGATTTATAATAAATTTTCAAATAATCCTTTGCAATTTGGTATAAAACTAGCTTGGGAGTGAAAGGGTTAAGTATTAATTCCGTGTTTTGAGTACATCCCTAAAACATTATTGGGATGCCACAATTTGGTATCCAAAGACGTTAGCTGTGGACATTTCCGGGGCATTACAACTTCCACTCATTGACATACGTAGGATCCCCATTGGACGCATTTAATCCTATATTAAGCAGCCTTGGGACGTAAAAAGGGCACATCTTTGAAACAACTTTACTTGGAGGCGAACAATCTCTATCCTTAGGACGTCAACTTTGGACGTTCTAGGTATACCACAACATTCTATCATTGACATGCACAGGCAGAAGGCCCAAGACTGCTGGATTGAATATCATACTGCTTGGTTATGTAAAGTTGGCAAATACACATGGATTGCTGGTCTTTTCCTTTTGGGGAACCTTTCAAGATTCCCTTGTGCTTCACTTGGAAAGTAACCCCCTTCATTATCACGGGACCCTTCCATATCAGATCTGAGGGTCCCAGGAACCCCTACGGCAAGAAACCTAGCGCAACCCCTGGAGTAGGGGATGATGCCGCGGTCCGCAAGCCCATCGCGCTTATCAACCGAGGCTGTTCCTCGACCACAGCAACACGTTCACCACAGAGGAGCGAATAGAGATAGTAACCCTACGTCTTAGCGGTCGAAGTTGCACAGACGTCGGTTCCACAAAGCAGGGCCATCAGACTTCACCATCGGGCAACTCGTCGATGAGTTTCGGAACCTGTGTCGTGTTAAAACATCGCCTGGAGATTAGTGACGGCCGTCGTGTTCTGTTACGATGTTTCATTATTTCTGGATCGTTTTGTTAACAAGATGAAACGGCGTACGTGGGTTCCCTTACGGTCCGTAAGGGAACCCACGTACGCCGTTTCATCTTTCTACCACCACTCCTTCCCAAAAATAGTAAGGGACTTTTGGGCCACCCTGTACGGTAGTCAGTGTGACAGGCAAGCAGATCGTGCTTTAGCATTTACATAATGAACGTATGATATTAATGCATTATTTTCCATGCTATACCTATATGAGAAATTTAAAAAAATTAGCATCAGTAATGGATAACTTATATGGATAAATTGTATAATGCACAAAATAAAACCTTATTTTCCTCATCAAGTAATCAGTCCTCAGTAATGGTTTAAAAAAAAAAAACACATGATGCAATCTGCAATAAGAGTTGAATTTCATGTCAAAGTAACTCAGCATATTTAGCAGGTAGATATAATCATGCTATGGTATGATAGATTGCAAGAATTTCAATCATGTAAGCCAATCACAAATTTCAGGGAAGTGGTTCTGAGTCATAATGGAGAGGGATGCCACTGTGACCCTGAACTACTGTAGCAGGAGGTGCAGGTGAAAGATGATGTGAAAGACCCTGCCATGTTCTCTCCTTCAAAGTCTTTCCTCCATACACACTTACATCCCAAACTTCCATCATTGGGCCCTCTCCAACTCTCCGGATTCGGTTGTCAACAAGTGAAACGTCTCCAGAAAATGACCCATGAGGAACAGGAATGCTCTCATCCCTTCCTACAGTGACAATGCATCATTGGAAACTGTTTCTTGGTATGATGCTTATTGCATAAAAGGTATGCAAGATGGATTATGACACTTGAAAAACACATTAACCTTTTCAGTACCTAATTACTTTCTGTCCATTTTCTAGGTTATTTTTGCATACAAACATTCACATCACCCAATATGCAAATCATACACTAGCTTTCATAAACTAACTTTCTTGCCATCAGCTGTAATTAGAAAACTATTTGGTTGCCATGGTTACACTTGCATGGAAATGGTCTGAATGCATCAGAAAAAGGAGTTCACGAATCAATAACTGGGCAAAATATCCTTAAAATGACTAAAAACTGCTTTCAGTCACTGTGCCACTAACCACGATGTGAGCAAAATAGGTAGTGTTGAATGAGAGATTTGCATAGATCTCACTCATTCAAATGAGTTATTTAAGCTTCAGCAAAGTTCACACATTATTATTTCCATCCAACAGTAAGATATGTTCACTCGATGTCAAAAGTTACAGCACTGAAGATGCTATAGGGTGGTACTTCATGAAGCAGTGTTCCCATAATTGGAATGAACTATAAAATATTTTTTAGCTTATGACCTCATTAGTTGCAAACAGAATGTTTTAACATGGGTACTCAGATATGCATATAGACATGCTGTATCTGACTCTGCTATGATTTTTTTTTTTACTATACATTGAATTATGAATAGTGATAGGCAATTCTGGAAATATCCCAGCTCAAAGCAATATTGAAAACAATGATAGAGGTATGAAAAAATCTGCATATACAGTAAGCAGTGAGCCAAAGAACTTTCAAGAATCAAGAAATGAATAAAGATCCAGAATGTGTCAGGCATGACTCTGACCTGGTAGGACTTGGTTGAAGTCCAGGATAAGATGATCCAGATAATAATCTGGATTCATGGCGATCTCCAATTCATGAGGAGTGATGACTGGATGCATGAAATCCCTGGAATCTATCAAGGAGCTCTGCATGCAAGCAATCGCTACAAACACATCAACCTCAGGAAAGTTTAACACCTTGGCCTCATTCATCTTTCCAATGGATATGACATATGATTTCTTTCCAGCCAGTTTCACAAGGTTTCTCAGGTGTTTCAATATATCTGGAATCCAAGCTATATTAAGAGAGTTGATGACAAATCCAATGACTTTGGCATCTCTTGCTTTTTCAATAAGGTAGTGTCTCCTCTTGAGAACCTTGTCATCAGAGATAGAGACACACTTAGCTTTCTTCACCTTTGGATTGTACACCAGGAAGTCCTTATGAGGAAAAGTCAGAAGGAAATTCCTCAGCACAACATCATCTTCAGCACCAAGATACAGGAAGGAATGCGGGATAGCTGACAAGGGTCCAGGCACTGGGATTCTACGGCCATACAGGACTTGTCCATTACTCTCATTACCAATCCTATCCACAAGTGGGGAGTGTAGGATTACAACACCAGTCTCCTTCTGCAGTCTATCTATCAACCTCCCTAGAATAGGGCAGTATGCAGTAACTCAAGTCATTTCCTCAATGAATCCACATATATTAGAGAATTTTGGTTACTCGTTTTTCAGGACAGGAACGCGAATGTATTACTAGGTGTTCAAGTTCTAGATTTCGAATGGCAGTTTGGCTATGCATTCCAGAATGGAATGGAGAGTAACATCTACTGGTCTCACCGCAGATGGTGTTCAAATGACACCCACTTTAAGGGCATTGTCGACTCAGTGATACACAGCTAAGGTATAATCTGGTAAATGCACATATCCCCAGATATCTAAAAATCATTTACCCCTTGTTTTGATCTACTACAACTAAATTTTCTTTCCTTAAGAATTTTCACTACAGGAATGAATGTTTCATTTTTCCTACTGGACTAACATTCTTCATTCCTTTATCTGTTGGTCACAGTCGCATGAAGACATAGCAACCCTCGACTGAGACCAGAGTTCCATTCTCCCCTCGTTCACCATCCCCAATGCATATCGTGCTTCCTTATGCTAATTATTAATCATGCTTCTGTCCATCTCTAATGGCAAAGTAACCGAAGTTCACGTTTGGGTTGTACTCTTCTCCGATGGCGAAGAGTACATGTCGGTTGCAGTTCTGGGGGTTATTCGGCTAGAAGGAACTCACATTTCTATCGGTTGGGAAACCCTTGCTGCAGACGCGAGACGATCGCCTAGAAACCCAACCTGGGCATAGGGTACCTTGAATTTCAGCTGCTTCGCCATCAATAGCAGCTTTCCTTCCTGGATGACTGACACAAACGAATCACGCGACTATGAAGTCGTTCCTGATTGGTGGATCTTGCGTTGCGATCACGTTCCTGGGAAAACGGCTGGAAGAGCCCCTCCACGTCTTGGACATCTTCCTCACGCATTTTAAAACTGCTGTAGACGTCACCAGCGACGTCAGCTGTTCTACATCCCTTGCCGTCTTCTCAAGAACGGGTAACCAAAACTCCCTATTCTGTGACAGGAACAGGGATGATTACCGGCTACATGAGCCAAGGATGTGTGATAGATGAGAATAGAGGGAGAGACAAGAAGTGGCATAATGGCAGCAATGGCTTCCTCTTCATCAAATTCAGCATCTTGAAATGCATAGAACACAGGGATTCCATCTGACAATGAAAGGCATGCATCACCATAATGGACCATTGCATCACATCCCACATGATCAGCTGTCACATAGTCCACACAACAACTGGAAGGAAAAACAGAAATATGATTAAGAGGGTATAACCTGAGCAAACGCCATGCGCACTCTTTCTCAATATATGAGATGCATTCAGGAACTAATAGGGGAGAGTGGGGTAATACCAAACACATAAGGGAAACTGGCTTTGTAGGCCAGGAATAGTGATTTGAGCCATACTTTAAATCAGTTTCTGTTTGTTAAAGAGTTGTGGTTTTGAAATCAAAAGACAAACTTGTTGGCAGCTAAGAAGCGTTTTTAACAAAAGAAATGTTTTTAAAAAATGCCCTCGTTCGGATTTACCCCAGTAGGTGGGGTAAATCTGGACATTGGGATAAAAAGTTCTGAACAGCACCTCTAAATTTATTAATGAGCAGAAATTGCACACTTATCCCATGAAAGCGCCGGGATCCCCTTTGGCGCACTTTTCGTATGTCCACTCTCAAGCGAGGATCTCATTTACCCAGTCCTGAAATTGCCTTTTTTAATATTACTTTTGTTTAAAACGCTTATTTGTTGCCAATGACTTTGTCTTTCACTTCAAAACAGCATGCTTTGAAGGTTAGGTGACAAGGGTGACATTACTATTCCAAACCTCCCTCATTGCCTTGTTATATTATTGAATACCATCTTTGCTTTACAGTATACTCTATCACAAGCAGCATGTTCATGTTAACAAGATATCAATTTTTTGCAAACAATGTAAATTTCTTGTGATTGCCATGAAAATGACATCACGTTTACGTAAAATTTACGTTCCTATATTTACGTCACCAAAGTGTACGTGTATTTTACATCAACTAGACGTCATTCCATCTGACGTGAAGTACATGATACCAAGTTTATGAAAAATTAACATCACACCGTCCATATGAAACTTTAGCTGACCATCTGGCAGTTGCAGTACCAAGATTCCTCACAAGATGGAACCCTTGTTCCCTGCATCCTACAATTACTATTAAGTGCTGGTTCTCCTGATATAGTATCAGGTTTTCTTACCATCCTTCTACTTTTTATCATCCAATATATATATGGAAAACATGAAATTATTATATATTGGGTTGGAAAAAAAGTCTTGCAACACTTTCAAAAACTATTTATAAAAACTTTCCAAATTCTCTTCAGTGTACTCTCTCCGGACTGCTTTCTCTTCATGCAGGACTTGCCGTCCCGCAAGGCGCGCATGGAATGTCATCACTTATCTTGTCGCGTCCATTTGGACACACAAGTACGAGGGGTGTTAACCAAGTTCCGGGAATTTTGTTCTATCGCTGCAACGGCTGATCATAGCCTATCGCAAATTTCGTCCCACATGCTTAGGCTTGTCATAAGCACGGAAGACGCGGTAAATTCTCAAAAAGCTATCTTCTTTTTATGGAAGGAAGGTGTAAGGACGTCTGAAATTATTCAATGTTTGGTGAATCTTCTGAATCTAGAAATACCGTCTATCGCTGGATTGATCGCTTTAAGAAGCCTTAGTGAAGTTAAAGCAGCAATAAATGAGTGGATAGAACGTACTCTCCACTAAAGTCCTTTGAAGATGGACTAAAAAAATTAGTTACTCGCTGGCACAAATGTATACAGCTAAATGGTGATTATGTTGAAAAATTGCACTGTAATATCGAAGAAAATTAGCCTAATGAAAAATTAGCACGCAAATTCCCAAAACTTTGTAAACACCCCTCGTAGGACAAAAAAAGCGTAGGATCGCCTGTACCCACTCGACCATTAAAGGATTAAAGATCTCGACTCAAATTGTGTTTTTTAGTTCTCTTTTTGTTCTTGCCAGGCAATGGCTTCTTAAAAAGCAATATGATATAATTATGATAAATAATAAATATGATGTAATTACCCAACATAGGACAATATAAGTATTACCTGGGTAGCATACACTAATTCGTTTTCTCTACAACCCAATACAATAGAATGAGGTAAATCCGAAGGTTCGGTTTTACCTCCCTTCGCCTGTCTGGATTTACCCCACAGCACCGACGTTCAAGAAGCCCGCTCTCACAGACTAACGAAAGAATGAATATCGTGGGTTCCGCCACTTTCGAAAGAATAGTAATTCTTCTTTTCCAAGCAAATTCGTTCCAATCGGTCAGATCTAATGCAACGCCAAGGGAGGTCATGCCCTTTGAGCAGCTCCTTACATCAATCGAGATGAAAATGAAGATATTGCTTTTCTCGGAAAGCTGTTCAAGTCACGGAATCTTTCACAATAGGTTTTCAGACTTGTTGATGAAGCCTTAGCAGTGCCACAAGTGGCTGCTTGTCATGCACATTCCTAATAGGCTATTTCGCGCTGTCCGGATTTACCCGCCATCCGGTATTACCCCCCTCCTCTACTTATTAATATTTTTTTGCTCGAAGTTCAATAATTGTGTGAATGAGTTTGTAGGGATAGTGCTAGAATATTTTTTAATACAGCCTGCCCGAGCTTTATTTGACCATTTTTGATTCAGAATATTGTACATTTTTACTACTTCTTTTAGACACTATCATGCTCCATCTCCCGTCCTTGATTCTGAAGAATAGCCCAGCACCTCAATTTCTACTCTACCAAAGCTCTACGGAGCACAGAAATGCACAATTTCTCTCGTTCCTCAGTGATGACTTTCCAAAGTCCGCCTCAAAGTTTTCGGCGCTGATTCACAAGAGCACGCTTCAGGAACCCAAGCTCACAGAAATTCAAAACTTGTTTAGATAACGAAAACCCTGGTTTTGGCAGTAAATATATTGATTCTTTCCACAAACGGAAAGGTACAACCAAGTTTCATCAAGCATCATAATATACTTGTACCTTTCATCGGCCAGGTGGCGCTCGCATAATTTTCATGCATTTGTATTCCTCTCCATGATGTGTTTTGGGCAGACGACATGGACTTTGACCACCTGTTTTCCTTACACTTTGAGATTTTCACGAATGACCCTTCTGATAGTTTCCTTGAACACTGGCAGTCGACGTGCAAGTAATCTCTTGCTGGGTTGATTTCAAAGTCCGCGAAATGAATAACTTTAAACAGAAGCTTCTTGTAACGTGCCAGTCTTGCGTTACGCTTTATGTCCGAAATTCACGGATTTCTTCCTTTCTCGCCTCTTTACACTGCAAATGATGATATTTGAGACTGTTCCTTAGGAAACGCAGGATCCTTTCAAGAAACACGTGCAAATTTTCATTTTGTGCGAGTAACCTTCCATGGAAGGACGTTTCAGCAACATCTCCACGACTGAGTCAACGGGCATCATTAAACACCAATGCAATGACCCCTTGTTTCCCATAACAAAAGTTTACTTTTTGGCCAAGAATCACGTGTCCCACGAGAGATATACAGGGTGATCACATGAAACCTATACAACTTAGAATAAGTCTAACTTCCGAATGGGGCAATATAATTTGAAGCGGTTTTCTGCATATTGTTAAGCAACTTAAAAAGTTTATTACAGCATATTTCTTTGTGTTCCAGGTGACAGCAGGTGATTGAACAACCCCAAAACACGAAAATGACGACACCACAGGAAAAGGCGCAGTGCGTAACATGGTTCATTGAAACAAAAATCGCTGACGATCATCGGGCTCGAGAGCTTGTATAAGTTGAACCTTGAAATGCATGCAGCCTCAAGCGCTTGTGTAGCACCTTGTGCACTGTTGATTGTGATATCTGCAATTCCTGGGCACGCTTGCGTGTGGATTTCTGAGGACTACACAAAAAAGATTTGTCGGATCCGTTCCACATCTTCCGCACTTGTGCTTGCACGCCCGGACCCTGCCTGGCTACCGTAGGACACTTCCGGTCTCTATGAACTTCTTATGCTAGTCACGTATCGATGGTCTACTTGGTGGTGCCCTTGGGTATTTCGTTCGAAAATTACATTGCACCTGAACGTCCAATTGTGTTTCAATGAACCATGCTACGCACTGCGCCTTTTCCTGTGGTGTCGTCATTTTCGGGTTTTGGGGTTGTTCAATCACCTGCAGTCACCTGGAACGCAACAAATCTGCTGTAATAAACTTTTTGAGTTGCTTAACAATATGCAAAAACCGCTTCAAATTATATTGCTCCATTCGGGAGTTAGGCTTATTCTAAGATGTAAATGTTTAATAAGATACATCCTTTCTCCCCTATGAGTAAACGCATTTTGAAAATGGTCAAATTAAGCTGGGGCACCCTTTGTACTCCCACATTATGCTGCAGCATTATCCAACCCCTGTAAGCATGCATCAGCTTGTGTTAATCTGTTTGTGATAGCTGTGGTGTCGGTCACATCAAATAAGATGACAACTTTGAACCATGAAATAGCAGCAGAACTCCATTAGGGTGCCTGCACACAGGATCAGTCTAGTCTAGTCTAGTCAAGTCAAAACGTTTAGAGCCCCATAGATCAACATGCAATGACTGATACTGCCTTCACACCGGATCAGTCTAGTCCAGGGGTGTCAAACTCAAATCGGTCGGCGGGCCGCATTCCTTATCCTGGAGATGCCTGCGGGCCGCACCTATACTTTTTCACCGAAATTTTTGTTAACAGTCAATCCAAGCGGAAATTTCAAGAANGCCGTTGTTTTTGAGTAAAAACGTGTGGTATGCTTTTAAAAAAGTATATGAGCTTTGAAATTGCTCTCATCTTTTGCTCAAGTAAATGGCAGACATTCTGCAAATCTTTCAATTTTGTTGAGCTGCATAGAAAATGGCACCATACAATTGAAAACTGGTTTTTTGCGAAATTTGTGATTTTTGAACATTTCGAGCCATCACATCTTCTTAAACGGAATTTGTTGGGACAAAAATGGGATACACATCATTAGATCTTCTGCTGATTCCAAAAACATGGATGAACATGTTAGGTTAGATGAACATGTTGACATTTTGAAAATTTTTGAATCTACCAAAAATAGGCAAATTTTACATAGCTTTATTTTATTCAGTGTCGCCTCGAGGAGAAAAGTAAAATATATGAAATAACTTCGAAAGTCTGAATTTTGAAGAACAATGGTGTTCGCTGCGTTC